ACGAACTACCAGAGCTGCTGTCTACTGGAGTGCATATACCTTCATCTTCAATATCAGCATCATCTAGTTGTGAGGTTTCATCTATCACTATAAGATTACTGGAAGATCGACGGGGTTGAACATATGGATCCAGCCAGGCCAAAAACATGCACATGTCGCTTGTTTCACTTTTTTTTTTTCATCTATGACAGATTGTGTATCCTCTCCACTGACGTTAACACTCTGTACTTTCTTCTTGTCTCTTGAATATCTGTTCCTCAGGTTTTTGAAAGCAGTGTCTGCATCTTTACCAAAAAATTATAAGTATCGATTCTTAGTCTATATTGACCTGTTTCAGTTTCAAAAACCTCAGACCTACATTGCACACAACGATACTTGATAGAGATCAACCATGTGCTTCATTTTATCAAATAATATCTAGTCACAAGAGAAACAGCTTGCCATTTCGGGCGAATTCTTCAATTGTACGAACTGGTTTGTGTTACGTTGATATCAAAATAAAGTGGACACGAGTACTATCAATTCCATGGAAAAGCTTCAAGAGGTAAACCTTGTTAATCTTAAACTTAACCTAGAAATGATGAGAGAATGCAATAATTACCTTAGGAAAACCAGTCTTCCGTGCGACGTCTTGCCATGCAAGCTCCTTTTTGTTGCGGTGTTTAAAATCTTTACTTGCTTTATCATACAAAACCGGGTATTGTCTCACCGCCTCGGAGAGAAGTTCATCTACTGACAGCTCTGCATTTGCCGAACTCTCAAATCGATTGGAGTCCGCCATTTTGTTTGTGGGTAGTTTGTCGAGGAGGTATGGGTCAAAGTGAGCGATGATTCGTTGACCACCTTACACCTATGCTTATATATGCTTATTTCACTCGCGTTCGCACTACGACATAAGCATGACATAAGCATAACATGAGCACGAGAAGAACGAACCTTGTTCGTTCTTCTTGTGCTTATGCTTATGCTTAGGTCATGGGTGTTCTCACTTGCTTATGCGACTACTCGTGCTTATGTTTGTGCTTGTGCTTATGCGCTAGTGAAAACCAGCCTTTAGGTAGCGAGCCTGCAACTATCGTTAAAATCATTGACGACGATGTCAGGTAAATGTGGAAAAGGCTAGATGAGAAGTATGGAAATCCAGCAAAGGTTGCAGATGTCATTATTGACGGGATATGGAGAACAGAAACTATAAGAGAAGGAGAGGAGAAGAGATTTTTTGAGTTCGTAGAGATCATTGAAGAGGGCTATAGAGATCTAAAAAGGCTCACTCTAGAATCGGAGATAACAAAAGCAGGCTCTGTCAGTATCATAGAAAAGAAACTACTGGCAGACATTCGACGAAAATGGGCCGAGACGGTGAGCGCTGATAACAGTACCGTTGATAAAACTAACAAATTTCCATTGCTTCTTAAATTCCTAAACAGCCAACGTAGAGCCATAGAGTATGACACGGCCTCACTAAGGGTACCAGCCGGTCCATTTAAATCCGTCATTCATCACACAACTGCTAAGGAGGAAATCGATATGAAAGGCCAAAGACTGACGCAAGGTAAATGCTTAATTCGTGAGGGAGGCAAACATTCCACTGAGGAATGTAAAGTCTGCTCGTCGAAGTCTCTTTACGAAAAGAAGACGCTACTGAAAGAGAAAAATGCTTGCTGGTCTTGTCTTAAGGTCGGTCACCTGTCTCGTGTATGCAGAGCGAAGAAGACATGCAACATCAAAGACTGTCCACTGACACATCATCACTCTCTGCACGAAGAAATACAGGTGTTAAACACGTCCAACACTTCTGGGTCAAAAAAATTTTGTAGGAATACAGAGACTGACACCTGCCTGTTACAAGTGCAGAAGATCAAAACCAAAAGGGAACTTGAACGTGATGTGAGATAACGCAGCTTCTCTATGTTTCGTTACGAATTACAAAGCTAGGGAACAAACTCGTAAAGGAAAGAAAGGAGATTTATAGAACACAAAGACTGGAGCGCAGGATGAGAAGATGAAAACGATGATATATATACTACCTTTAGTTGATACACAAGGTCAAACAATATACATTGAAGCTTACGGATTACTTCAGACATCGAAAGCATGAGCACCGAGAATCTGGCAAAGTTGTTCAAAGGCGTGTCAATGGACGATATCGCACGAACAGCGGGACCCGTCGGCGTTTTGATTGGGTATGAGTACGCTGCGTATCACCCTCAAAGAAAACAGAACGCTAGACACCTTCTGTTACTCCAGAATCGATTTGGCCTTTGTATCGGAGGAACACACCCGTCGATAAAAGGCGAAATAAAAAAAACAATACCTCAGTTACGCTCGAGCGCATCATGTAATAACAGTAAAAGACTTGTACAAAATAGAGAATCTTGGCGTTGAAAGTGTTCCGCGTTGTGGAAGCTGCAAATGTGGACATTGTGCTATCGGAAGTAAAACCTACAGCATCAAAGAAGAAAAGGAGTTCGAGTTGATTGAAAAAACATGAAGTTTGACGCTCAAGACCATAGATGGATCGCGGAGTACCCATGGATTAAAGATCTGTGCAATCTTCCTGATAATAGACGAGTGAGTAGCTCTAGCCATGCTGTATTCTACTGAGCGTAGACCGGAAAAGAATACACAACCTGCAACTGTATACAATAACCAAGTTGGAGATATGGTACTATGGGGGGTTGCCCGTAAACTCAGCAAAGAGGTACTTACATACTCAGCAGAGGTACTTACAAACTCAGCAAAGAGATACTTACAAAGACCTTATCCATTACATTTCCCATCACGAGGTGCTCAAACCAGACTCTAAATATCCTCCCGTTACAATCGTGTTTAACAGTAGCGCAAACTACATGGATCACGTACTTAGTGAGTACTGGGCAAAGGGGCCAGACTTGCTCAACAGTCTACCTGGAGTACTTGTGTGATTTCGCGAGAATGAAGTAGCTTTCATAGGTGATATGACAAGAAGATGTACCATACCGTTAAAACAAAAGTCCTAGATCAACACACGTATCGATTTTTATGGAAGGACAAGGTCACCGACAGAGCACCCGACACCTATGTGATCCAAAGAGTTTCATTCGGAGATAAGCTCTCTGTAACCATCGCTACGATGGCCTTGCGCAGGACAGCAGAGATGTTCCGTAAGCGATATCTGGGTGCCGCAAAAATCATGAAACATATATGGATGGCATTATATAAAGTACCACAGACCTTCCCACGGCTCACAAATTAATGTAGGACATCGAGACCTTAATCATTAAGGGCGGATTTGCACTGAAGGAATGGATAGTTTCCCGTGATTCAAGTAATAGTAAAAAGTATCCACCAAATGAGTCAAACGTAGCGACCGAAAAGGTGCTAGGAGTCAATTAGGACCCAATCAAAGACCATTTGTGCTTTTCAGCAAAACCTGACTTCTTTTCGAATCGCAAACGCGGAGTACAGAAAGACAATCCTAATAACGATTCGAAACACACAATCACTTACGAAGCTGATGATATTGTCACAAGTCAACAGTATGTACGATCCTCTAGGACTGGCAGGGCCCTTAACAGTGCGGGCCAAAATCTTAATCGACATTTGTGGGCAAATAGCGAAAAGCTCGCCTGGGACGATCGGATGCCAGAAAAAAATAAACAACAATGGTCAGCATCCTTTAATAAATAACCTGAAATGAATCGAGTCAAATTTTGTCAAAGAGATGTTTAAAGTCTTCGGACGCAGTTTGCAATCCTGTTCTTATTATATTCTGTGCTGCTTCAGAAGACGTTTACGGCTCCTGTGCGTATGTACGATGGCAACTACAGGGCGGAGGGTTTGCGTGCATTTTGATTGTTCTAAAAATCGTCTTTCCCCAGCAAAAAATGTCTATCGACAAAATAGGGCTGCGTGGAGCAGTGTTAAGTGACCGGCTTAAATCCTTGATCGATAAAGACTGCAGATACACTTTTGAGAAATGCTATTACGTAGTTGACTCTCACATAGTGCACGCAATGATAAAGAAAAGCTCCTACGGTTGCAATACCTTCGCCGCTACATGAGTCGGTGGAATTCAAGAAGGAACCAACATCGAGGATTGGTAATTGTGCGAGAGTAAATTTAACATTGCAGACTGGTTGACTAGGGGAATGAAGCCAAGTGAAATTAGTCGTCACAGCGATTGGCAAGAAGGACCTCTTTTTCTCAAACAACCTGAGAGCGAGTAGTCTATTTCTCGTAATTACTCTGAAGTAAGAATACCTCCAACAATTGTGAAAGCAGTCCACACAGTGAATGTAACTGTTAAAGAAGACTTGGCGTCTACAATCAAGATCGAACGATTCTCAGATTATAACCGTCTATCGAGAGTGACAGCAATGATCTTAAAGCTTTATCGCAGAGAAGCCAAGGTAACCTTTAAGAACGTAACACAGGAAATAATAAGTAAAGATTTAGAGACAGCGGAGGTACTCTGGATCAAAGAGGCACAGCGAAATATGAAGAACAATATAAAACATATCTACAGACGTTTGTGACCTCGACTACGAGATGATGGCATGTATGTGATAAGTGGCCGTGCTGAAAAGTAGCTAGAAATAGGCTAAAACAAGAAAGATATACTCCTACCTTGTCATCATCGATTTGCTCGTCTTTACTAGGAGTACATTCATGCCAAGGAGCATCACGGAGTTCTTACAACTGCAAGCAAGATCCGCACAGGGTTCTGGATAACCAAATTACTTAATATAATCCAATCTGTAAAGATCAACTGTGTGACGTGTAAGAAACTTGACGAGAAACTATCAGGACAAGTAATGGGAAACCTTCCTAACGAATGCCTCAAACCGGCATCCCCATGGTATTCTACATCAATTGACTTATTTGGACCCTTTACGATCCGTGACGTAGTTAAGAAGGGTACTACGTCAAAAGCGTATGGGGTGATATTTAATTGCATTGGAACCAGAGCTGTATATTAGGACCTTGCACCTGACTACAGCACAGAGATTTTTCTTATGGTATTACGCAGATTTGTCTCACATAGAGGATATCCATCAGAGAGTTATTCCGACAGTGGCGCGAAACTTGTCGCAGCAAGTCAGGAACTTGAGAATGTTACGAAATCTTTAGATTCGGAGAAACTTAAAAGTTTTGGAGGTATGGAGGGTTTTGAATGGAACTTCACGCCAGCTGATGCCCCATGGCAAAAGGGAACATCAGAATCTCTCATCAGATAAGTCAAAAGATCACTCAAAGCTGGCATTGGAGAAAGCATCCTAAAGTCTTCAGAACTTCAAACGATACTCTTCGAGGTTGCTAATCTAATTAATGAAAGACCTATAGGTCATCATCCAAGGTCCTCAGAAGATGGTTCCTATTTGTTCCCAAACGACCTACCTTTAGGCCGTTCCACAACACGAGTACCAAGTGAGCCTTTTAGAGAGTCAACAGATTCAAAACTCCGTTTTTAATTCATTCAAAACAAAGTTAATAGCTTCTGGAAAAGATGGACCACAAACTACTACCCAGATCTGATCGTGGGTCAAAAAAGTGGCCTACAGCACATCGCAACCTTAAAACTGGAGATATTGTCTCAATGCAAGATTCTAACTTGATTAGAGGTCAATGGCGACTTGGGCTAGTTTCAAATACCTTCCCGGGTTCTGACGGCAAGGTGCGCAAAGTTGAAGTGCAGTACAAAAATCCTGAGCAAGGTGAACCTGTAACCAAATATCAAGGAAGAGGATACCTCACGATCGAACGCCCTGTACACCGTTTAGTGTAACTTATACCAAAGGATGACATTTTGGACTTCTGAAATGATATAAACTCTGTACTGTTACTAATTTTATAACCTGGACTTAATAATTTACAAATGTCTTTTCGAGGAGGGGAGTATTTCGTCGAGAAATTCTATTATTGATCATTAAGTTAATTTATCCGTTAATCAGATATAATGATGTCATAACACTAATATAAGTCATTTGTCAGCTCTGGACCTAGCCGACTTACTGGGTAAATATCGAGTCGTGTCATATACTTTATTATCTGAGCATTTCATAACAATGTGACTTCCTTTTAGGATTCGAACGCATGTCTTTGATTGTCTCACACTAAAGTCGTCAATAAAGATGTTTGATAACAGTGAAACAATAGCCCACAACGGACGATAACATTCTCAAAATTCGTCTTGCAGATTTAGAACTGTTTGTGGCAACCGGCAGGAGTGGAAGTATCTGAAAGACCTTAAAACCGCTTGAAAGTTGAAACTGAAGTGACTTTTTTGATGGTTGACGACTAAATTTTGAGCTATTCGATGGCTGACAGTTAAACCCATTGAGCCCCTTTAAAGTGGACGCGCTATCTGAATTAGAAACCAAACGTATCCGAAGACAGGTAAATTAATTCTAAAATTAATTATCATATGACCTGTACGACCCCGCGCGCAGTCCTATAAGCCAAGGCGAAGGCTGACGTGTGAAGGGCCGACGGGTTGACGTGGACCGGTCCAGAAAAAATAATCTCGGTCCTGCACTCATTGGGATCTTTTTAATTTTCTGATAACGCATTTGAAACTGTGCACTTTAAATAGAAGTATAGTAAATGAGAAAACGAGTAAAACTTCTCGATCAATTATGACCTGCAGTAATAACGAGAAATATTTTTACTGTAGAATGTTTTACCAACTGTGCAGTGCGTGCCTTTCCTCCATATACAAGTACATCCTACATATTGCGACAAAGGTTTCGAAATCTTCAACACCTAGTTGTCATATGATAAAAGTCTTATTGACTGAGTTTGTTGGGAGCACACGGGACAATATTTGACCCTCTGCTCGAGGTCATGCTCTCTGCAAGAGCATGACCTCGAGCAAATTATTTTTTCCGTCCGACCCTCCCACCGAGTCAAAAGGT